AAAGTCTGAGCCTTGACATTTCAATTGTGAAGTTTGTTTCATTCGGTACAAACGGAGGTCAGCGAATAAAGATCACCCGTGATCCGCCCGTCAGTTCACATGCAAATGAACAAGAATTTCTCACACTGAGGAATTCCCTTCAGCATGCAACACAAACTCACTACACGGACAGCGGGCCAAGCGGTGCTGCAGAGAACTTGAATCTCCAAAATAGACAGCATGGTGGAGTTATAGAAAATACCAAACGCCCACATAAAGACCCCCCAAAACAAATACATGCACGTTATTTATACAATAAGAGCACAATCATAAAATATAAACGTTAAGTGATGCTAACTTCAAGGGGAAGATGAAGCTCTACTTTGTATCATTCCCTGAGATAGGACAAGACTCGCCCAAAAAATTACAGTTTAGTAAAAAATCATATTTTTTTGGAGAATGAGCTTTGATAATGGATTTTTCCCCATTTTGGCAATTGAGATCAAAGTACTTCATTCTATTATTTTTTTTACCCAGTGTCAAGATCAATATATAACACCATGTTGAGTTGGACTGTTTCTAAAAAGGAAGTTGTGTTATTTTAGTCACACAAAATAGATCAATTTTCGATAACCCGAGTTCCCTAACCCCTATTTGATAACCGGCAGTGAAGAGTGTTTTTTCTCCTGTTTTCATATTTTGTGATCTCGTTGCCTTCAGATATTTGCTTTAAATTATGTTGATCTTAAACATTGGTCCTTTATATTGCGCTCAGGAATCTTGTAAGAAAAGGAAACTCCAAAAGCTTGTCTTGCAACTCGATCCTCAAGGTAAGTACAAACCCACAAATCTCTCTAAATTCACTGTTCAGTTCACTGAAAATTCTCAGTAAAACGCTTCTCAAATGTAAAAGCACCAGACAAAGAAAGAAGCGTCAACACTTACCTACGTGTATCTGAAGGCACACGAGTCCCAGTAGCAAAGCAGGGTTACAGAAAATGCCTGGTGATTTATGGAAGAAAATGAAGTTGGAATCATGAGTTCCAAAAATGAGAATTAAGTGACCTCTAAGCCATGAATGTTTTTAGAGAAGTATTGTTTGTGGGTAAACACGGCATGGAAACGGTTCTTTCGAGAACTGTTGGATCTGAGGATACCCGGCGGGGACGGGAACAGACCTTCCTCACCATCGGCTCTTTTAAGTACCAAATTACTTCTTCGAGTAAAAGATTGTTCCCATGAGTGTATCCACAAACAATTTTCAGTACAGGTGACCCCAAAAACTGCAAAGTCAAAAGAACAACTGTTCTTTCTCAAAACAAATGCCAGAATTGTTGTTGTGGTATTAAACTGAAGCGTAAGATGTGGTCTTTTTAAAACTGAAGACTTTATTTTGATGATGCGTTGTGGAGGCGATCTCAATTACGTAAGACAAGTGCTATTTGTTCTGTCCAATGGGACTTACCACAGCAATAAACACGGACTTACTACAGCAATTAACACGGGCCTGCAAAATGAGGATACTGAACGGAACAGGTTTCTGTTAACAGCTCTTTTATTTTTCACTAACAGAAAACAGGATCCTGAAATGGTTCAAAGGAATTAACATCTACTACAGAATTAAATACATGTAAGGTAAGCAGTTTGTTACAAACTCACCAAGGTAAATTGAACTGGTTCAGTTTAAGTACTTTCTCTGCAACAAATTCATCTAACTCTGAAACTGCACAATTAGTTAACACCCATTGCATCCAGCTTCATCAAGCTAAGAGCTAGAAATAAATTTAAAAGAAGTAAGGAACGCAACAGGTGTGTGCTAATTTAGAATTTGAATTCAGTGACTGCGTGGACTTGCAAGATAGAACTGTACAAAGTTCCACTGGACAGAACAAAAATGAGTTGTGCTGCCGGTACGAAATTGTAAATATCTAGGTTATGCAACAAATCACCAGATTTAAAAGAAGTTTCAGTACTGAAATGATAACATGCTAAGCTTAGATTTGGTGCCAAAACAAAAATGTGTGACATTCACTAAGTGTTTTTTGGAGGGTGGGAGTAACCCTGTATTCCACTGCGCCGAAGTTTCAAACAACACTTCCATTGGTGAGGTTCCACCGAGAGGTGGAGAGATGAGTTTAAAAGATCATCTATGGGCATTTGGAGCATGAGAACAAGCTTCTGCGTTGTTGAAAACCAACATGGGGAGGTTGTTGGAAAACAGGATTTTCACTTTTCATTTACTGGTTTATAGACTGGCTGGAGATCTTCAGGAACAAAAATAGCAGACTTAATGTGCCATAACTTAATGTTAACGTAATTGTACCAGGTCTAAAATTCTTCCGTTAACTTACCCTTCATCTTTCGACAAAACCACTGGACTTTACAGCAGCGCGTGTTCTATCTTGCAGACAATCTAAATGAACAACCTTGCACAGATTACCTAAACCAGGTACAGTTTCTGGGGTTTTCCCGCTTGTAAGGCAGCAATACAACTGCGCACGCAACAGTCACGCGGACGCTGGGGGTGATGAGGCCATTCTCATTTCAAATGAAATTCGGTTCAAGACAATTTCATAACAATACATTTTGATAAAACATTTCACAGAAACATACGCGCACATATCTTTCAATTTGGGCATATAAGGTGCAGCTGCTTAATATCGTTCAGGGAGCAACGGATCAGTAACGAAACTCGCTGATGCGTGCAAGGCAGTTTAATGTTACAGTTACACATTAATTTGGATTTTCCAGGGAAACTATGGAGTCCGATAGATGAACACCGAGCCATGCACTAGCGTCTGCATGTCATTTGAGCCACGGAAACCAATATTTCGACGGTCACCAACAGAAACGAATAATACTTGTATTCGTAATGATAGAGATATGTTCCACGTATTGTGTATCACAAAAGCCACATTACAAATCAGTCCGGTAGTGATTGTCAATTTTATTGAACGTTGGAGGCGAAACCCTCCCAAACCCATTATCATGGATGCTAATACAAATTTAAAGTCCCTTGGATAATAATTGTGACTTAATGGAGTTTACTGAGGTGTGATGATATATATAAATACCACAAACACACATGAATTTTCTCATTGCATAACTTATGTTTGTGCGAAATCAGATTTGAATTTTCTTTCTCATTTTACGGCCTGATTAAATGAAGTACTCCTTTCTGTTATTTATGTTTATTTAAGGCCGTTTCCTGTGATTTTACTTAAATGTTATTCCTTTTTTCAAGTAAAAAATGCTTGCCTGTTGATGGACGTGAGTGCCCAAGGCCAAACGCTTTAATACCGAGGAGGGTTTGAATGCTCTTTGCACGTTTTTGTCAAACTGAACGCTAACTTTTCGCTTTTGCATCAAAAAAGTGTGCAATCGCATGCCCATGAAGTTAAATTGAATGATTATATTTGGTGTTTGAATGATGGCCTCGATCATCAGTCTATTATGTGCTGAACTGAATAGATTTATCGTTACTTCGAATGCTATAAAGTCACGAATTTGCCCGGGAAAACCTTTAATTTGCAAATTGGCTTATACACATTAACAGCACATAACAGACTGATGACCGAGGCCATCATTCAAACACCAATTAGAATCATTTGTGTGCATCCTCGCCCAAACCCGTCACTGTGCCAAGATCCATGTTTTTGGTACTCAGTGGGTTCATTGAAACCATTCAGAATGCTGTTTATGCAAAATAGAAAGAATAATTAACAATGAAAAAGATTGTCCAAACAGACACTTACAAAAAAGAAAACGAATGCGGTAATTGTGGAACAGAAACCCTACTTTGAACAAAATTAAACCGAACACAAAAAAAGTCAATTCGGTTTAGCCTCACGGAATAGACCACTCAATTGGGCACCTCTAAAAGATTTTTGAAAAGATATCAAAAAGAGGCATTTAATTTTTTTTATCATAATAAATCTATGTGGTAAATGCTTTAGGAATAACATCTCTGCGAAATTTTAAAACTATTAGAAATATTATATGTTGGCTGTGGCACTTTTACACTGTATTTCCAATGAATATCTCTTGGGGCAGGGTCACCCCTTAGGCAATCTTCACATTACGGTACGTCGTTCACTTTTCAGGCTTTTCAGCCAGTGGCGGATGAAGGGGATGTGAAAGTAACCCCCCCGACAAGTTGTCAATTTTGTATCAAGGGTAAAGCTACAAATCGGAACAACGTGATGTAAACATTGCACCAGTGTCAAAAAAGTATCTGGCAGCACTGCCATTTTAATATCATTTTTGATGTTTTAGCATCATGTCAAAAGTTAGGAATTAAGATATCAATCCTCTTTCCATTCATAGATGATATACCCCAAGTAATTTAAATGTTTTAAGGTCATGTCGCCAAAGCGGTTTGAGGACTATCAAGAATAAGCCCCCGAAGCATAGGCCTATTACGTTATACAAACATCAATATGTTCGCTTACGCGGTGTCCTTTTGTCGACCCTAAAAGGCCAGTTGAATTACAACAGAGGAAATACTAATATCGATATACAATTGCTTATTGATTTCAATGCTGGCTGTGGCATTCTGTAATATTTCCCTGGCATTGTAGACTTTGAGCCATGCCATGCGAACAGTTAAGGCCCGAGGAATATTGTGAAATTCAGTGTCAAGTAGAACTGGGCCGGTATCAATGTAGCTGTCGTGCCGATAAGGAACGCAGATGACGGTTACTTAAAGGACAGAAACATCTGTTTCTTTTCGTCAATTGTTCAGAGTTCAAGTAAGATAAACTGTTATCCAAGACGGCATGACATCTGCCGACTGCTGGCAGGTCACGGGCTGCCTGTGCAATTAGTTTTATCAATGTTATCAAGTTTCAGAGATTAATTTACAACTGATATTTCTGATGCAATCGTTCTAGTTCTGTTGCTTAACCGTCGTCTCCTTCAGACTTTATTTCAAGGTAGCCTTATTCAATTATTTTTTCTGAAAATGAGCACATATTTTACAGAAACCTTTAATACTGTAACGAATACTGTACCCACTCTAACTGCAAATTTGGAGTTTTGGCGCGTGTTCGCAAAGACGTGAGCGCGCGTCGCTCTGTGTAGGCTCAAGTCAGTGGAATCCACGACAGCGTCCGGGCAACCTTCAGTTTAGTTGTCGGACGTTACGTTTTTGGTGACTATAGTCAAGAAACGAAAGTCACGGGCAACGGGGTGAGCTTACTGTTTCGTGTAGCGTTTTATCTTGTTCTTTTCCTTTGAAATAAAAGAGATAGTTGGCAGCCGACCTTGTGCATCTGTGAGGTCATTTTTTACAGAGTACAGGCCCCAGTCCTTAGGCTACGAAAATTCTGGTGTAAGCCTACACATTTCCAACTTCTGGAAATCGACCGCCTAATCTGGCCAAAGACTACTCGGTGGGCGTTACAATACCATATACCATTTATGTGAAAAATTTTTCAGACAGTGTACACAGATTTTAAAAAATACGAATAACAAGGATATAATTTCGGGATCAATACATTCTGTTAGGCCTAATTTATATTTGTGAGATTAGGGGTAAGATTGAGTAATTGTGACGGCTATGGGACATGGCATATACACGTCGGGGTTTTCGTTCAAACGCCACAGTTAAACGTTTCAAACGTCGTGCATTAACTTCCAAACATTATGGTTTAGTCCTTAACGTCGTAGTTCACTTTTAACGTCGAGCTTCAACATTGTAAACGCCGTGGTTTCAGTTACAAACGTAGTTGTGCAAATTTGTCAAATGCTCTGGTTTAACTTTCCAAACGTCATGCATCAACTGCACTTGACCATGCAGCCTGTCTGTAAAAAAACAAAACGTGGATTCTTCAATATGATGTAGCCGAGGCTTGGTCATAAAACCAAAACAAGACCGATGTAGTTCGAAACAGAGCAGGCCCCACCGATACGAGCCAAGTGCGTTCACTCCTAAGCCTGATGACCCGCCACCTGTTACCACCCGAGTGAACGACCTCCTTCAGAAGAAACGAACGTGGGTACGGACCCCTCCCGTCAGACGGCGAAATCCTTGACCACTACAGTAGAAGTTCTCACACACTATGACCCGATCTTCCAGTGAAACTGGCACATGACGCTTTATCCGATGGTCATGAAGTCGAGTTAAAGATTACTCTAAACGCTACAGCAGCTGAACACAAATACTCCCACTGAACCGACAAGGAAGGGTTAACTTCTACGTACAACAGACTATTGGCACAGGCTCACGCTGATAACACAGGCCGACAGCCACCCACATTAAATTTTGTATTCACATCAACCCAACAAACATTATATGTACATGTACATGTACATCAGGAACTATGACTGCACGTCTACCGAGGTATGCAGTTTTTCTTGTCTGACATGATCACAGCATCCGAAGTGTAAAATTTTTATGAAACATAAAAAGCAGACTAGTTTAATATCCAGCCAGACTAAACGGCACCTGTAGATCCTGTCGACATACTCCAGAATATCTCAACTAGAGACACTACTGATTTTCAGCGGTGATATTTGAAGAGACACAGCTGCCGAAAATAACAGCTGCCGTGTAGAAGGAAGAGCAGGCCTAATCTTCCTTACACGCCGACACATGCCATACTCTCTGCCTAGTTTTCCTCCTACACGGTGGCTTCCACCGTCTACTGTCCGCCAGTTCCCTTTTTACACGGTGGCCTCCTTCGTCTGCCTGTCGGCCAGCTCTCCTTCTACCCGGTGGCCTCCTCGCCTACTGTCTGTCCAGCTGTCCTTCGCCACGATGGCCTCTCCCGTCTACTCTCTAGTCTGCACAGTTCTCCTGTTACACGGTGACCTCCTCTCCTGTGTGCCAGAGCCCCTGCTACACAGTGGCCTCCTACGTCTTCTCTCTGCAATTTCCTCCTTCTAGACGCTGGCCTCCTCAGCATAGTGTCGGCCCGATCCTCTTTCTAACGGTGGCCACCTCCATCTTCTGTTTGCCCAGTTCTCCTGTTACAAGGTAGCCCCTTTTATCTGCATGCATCGGCTCCGTCCTCTCCTCTTCCAATACGATGACCAACCTCCGTCCATTGTCTGCCAAGTTCTCCTTCTATACAGTCGCCCCCTCAGGTTACTTTCGGCCTGCTTCTTCTTTTTTTACGGTGACCCCTTTGCCTACTATCTGCCCGTTCCTCCTACACGCTGGTCCCCTCTGTCTACTGTTGGCCCGGTCCTCCTTATACAAGTTCCATCTACCATTCCATCTACTGTCGGTACTCTTTCTACACACTAGTGACCCCTTCCATTGACTGTCTGCCCAGATCTCCGTCTACACTGTGGCCCCTATCATCTGCTCTCTGCCCACGCAGCTCTCCTTTCTTTACACGACGACCCACCTCTGTCTGCCTACTTCTCTTTCTACACGGTGACCCCCTCCTATAGCCCGCTGGTAATTCCACACGGTGGCTCACCTGTAGCCTCAGAAACAATTGCTACATAAGTTTAATTGGCCCCATCATGAACGAACCATATGGTTTGATACAAGTGTCACATGATATGGCATGAGACAGGAGTTATTGTACAGCTGATAATGTTGGTGGTAGGCAGGCATGCCCAAGTGAAGTTTAGGTGTTGGTGCTACATTTGTTGATGATGATGGTGATAATATATTTGGTGCGTTCATGATGGGACCAATTAAGCTCATTAGCAGTGGTTTCTGAGGCTACATGAAAAATCACGATTGTGCTGAACCAAATGTGACAAAAT